TCCCCCCAGGCAGCACAGCGGTGGCCATCCACAGGACATGGTGGTGACCACCCAGGAGACCCGAAGACGTCCCACCACACCAAGCCACCTGTCCCTACCATCATCTCTCAGTGCCCACCCATGAGAGTGACCTCACCCCACTCACCTGGGGTCCCCTCTCACTCCTTCCCACCCCATTTGTGCAGTGACAACCCCCATTTGTGTGGTGACAAGCCCCCTTTCTGTGGTAACAACTCCTGTTTAGGGGGTGATAACCCCCACTTGTGTGGTGACAACGCCATTTAGGGGTGACATCCCCTGCCCATACCCACATAGCACTCATTTAACTCCTGTGACACCCAACAAGCCAAGACCTCCACCTGCTGTGTCCTCACATCCCTAAGGGGTTGCCAGGTGTGTGACAGCACCCACAGCATCCCCAAAACCTTCTTTTGCCTCCTTCTCCCACTGTCCTGGCCACACCAGCACCCCAAAATTCCGGTGCCCTAACTGCTGGGGGGGGGGGGGGGGGGCGGTACCTTAACGTCATAAGAGGAAGACAGAATTAATCCCAAAGTGTGGCACCATAATAGGAAAGCTGAAGATTGGACCCATTAAGATAGAAATAAGTAATCCAATTGTTTCCATAAGAGTAAGAGTATTAGAAGCTTTGAGGAGTCCATCAGGGATAGCTGTTGTCCATATAAGAGGACACCAGAGGGGAACAGATTATCGGACTCATGGGAATAATTTGGCTGATGCAGAAGCACAAAGGGCAGCAGTATGCTTAGCCGTGTTCTTAAATAATTTGAATAAAAGTGAAGATGATACAAAGTATCAAAAATGCTATATCTCATAGGAAATACAAGAGATGGAGAAACTAGGGGCTAAGCTAGAAGAGGATAAGTGGCTTTTACCGGATGGTAGAGAAATGCTATCTAAAAGTTATGTTACAAGAATAATTCACCAATTACACTAATGAACTCATTGGTGAACACGAGCACTAAGTGACCACTTGGTAAAGTTTTTAGGGTGTCTAAGAATGTTTGATATAGCAAAACAGAAGACACAAGAATGCATTATTTGCCAGAAAATTACCAAGAAGACATCTAGACAGACCCTGCAGGGAGGCAGAAAAACTGCATATAGGCCTTTTGAAAAGATACAATTGGATTTTACCAAATTACTGAAAGCGGGAAGAGATAAGTATTTGTTAGTAATAGCAGACCAATTAACTCATTGGATAGAGATCTACCCTGTGACACAAACAACAGCACATTTTGTTACAAAGATTAGTTTAGAAGAAATAATTCCACGATTTGGGGTGATTGGAGTGATTGATTCGGATCAGGATTCCCACTTTACCTCAAAAGTGTTAAAAGAAGTAATGAAAGCTCTAGGGGTCTCTTGGGAATAATATACCCCTTGGCAACCTCACAGTTTGGGGAGAGTAGAAAGAATTAACCAGGCCCTAAAGCATCAGCTAGCAAAACTAATGATTGAAACAAAACTATCTTGGATTAAGTGCTTACCATTGGCATTGTTAAATATTCGAACAATGCCGAACTCAGAGCATGGGATCTCCCCATGTAAGGCGTTATACAGAATGCCATATTCTCAAGAGATGCTGGGAGATAAAATAACCTGTACTGAACAGAATTGTAATTGCTATCCTTTGGAAGCACTGAATGAAACTATTGTAAGGAGAGGTGGTATTATCATTGTCGCAGGGGTTATCCTCCAAGTGGATTGTGTCCAGAGTGTAAACACATTGAACAGATTTTAACTGAATATATTGTAAAAAAAATAGAGAATAGAGGAAGGAACATTAGAACTAGATTCTTATGAGTGGCGGATGTTGTGGAAATACGGATTAAGAGGGGGACAATCAAGTGAGGCAAATAATAAAAAGATTGAGCATCTCAGACATAATCGAGTCCCTTGCGGATCTGAGCCAGTCAAAGCAAAGAACTGGGAAGTATTTAAGAAATGGCACGAAACCCAGGAAAGCTCATACAGAACCCATGAAGAATATCCTTGCTGCCGAGAAGATGATACCCCTCACTGCTGGGAGCACCCTAGTAGGCAGAGAAGGAAGAGGGATAATAAAACTGTGGGGCCTTCTGGTACTGCTGAGTCTTCCAGAGAATGGGATAACCAGTCCCTACTTGAAGGGCTACCAAAATGTAAAGTATGGCCGGACCACAGCCCGAGCATTTGCACCAAACACTCATATTAATGCACGATGTTATGAGCCAGGAAAACCTGAAACCTGTACAATAGGAGAAAAGAGTTACTGGGTAGCAACAAATTCAGGAATGGGAAGATGGGCACCGCGAAACTACCAATTTTGTCCCCGAGGAGAACCGTTCCTCTGTTTTACCAAAGGTGGAATGTGGGGATACTCAGATAAAGGGGGAGTACAAGATAAATTCAAGGAAGAATTAGTGAAAAAAGTCACAAAGAATTTAGGGGAAATTCAAACCAAAAAAGAACAAGAGCAGGAAGTGACCTGTATAAAAAAATACAGAAAAGACTCAGTGATTGGGACCTCCCTATGTTAGGAAAAAAATTTGTGTATTGATCTGATGCAAAAAGTAGTTAAGGAATTAAATGTGACTTACTGTTGGCTTTATGGGGATCCTAAATGACCGAGCAATGGCATGGAGAGGAGAAGGGGTTGGACCTGATCAGTTTATATTATGGAACAGGACACAAAGATTTAATGAAATTCAACCTGACAGGTAAACATTGAGTCACAAAGTAGTAGATCAAATTTGTATTTCTAGGAAAGGAAACAATTTTATTACAAACGTAGGACAAACCCACTGCAAGAAAATATATACCACCAACTCCACTTTTACAACATGGTGGCCGAAACCACCAACAGGTTATTGGTCTATCAACTGTACCAAGGGTACTGTTTTCTGGAAAAGTGTAACACATGCTAATCCTTTTGACGAGGTAAAAGATCTTAGGGGATATTGGGAAAATCTGGGTAAGATGGCTGAAAATTGGACAGCTTCAAATGGATTATTTTGGATCGCTGGTAAAAGGGCATATAATGAATATCAAAGAGATGGAGAGGTACCTGTACAATTTGAATTATACAACCTGCATTCTTTTTGCTACCAAAGAGCAAAGGTGAATGTTCAGGACTACCTCTTTACGAAACTCTGCGCAGAAGAAAACAAACTGAAATAGGAGGAAAACAGCCCTGGAAAAATGAAGAATGGACTTCCCAACAGATCACAGATTACTACAATCCTGCCTCCTGGGCTCAGGACGGCAGCTGGGGTTATAGAATCCCTATGTGTATGCTTAACCAAATCATTAGATTACAGGCCATTGTAGAAATTACTTCTAATCAAACATCAGAGGCACTGAAGCTTGTAGCTAGACAACTAACCCAGACCAGAGTGGCAGTATTATCAGAATAGGCTAGTCCTAGATTATTTATTAGCTGAAGAAGGGCATTTTGTGGAAAATTTAGTACGTCTGAGTGCTGTTTAGAGACTGATGATAATGGAGAAGCTATTACAAATTGGGCAGGCGAAATTAAACAAGTTGCACGTGTTCTAGTGCAAAAATGGAATTCCATATTAACTGACAATTGGTGGAATAATTTGTTTGAAGGAGCCTGGTGGAAAAATGAGGGTTCATGTTGCTTTGTTCTGCATTAGGTCTATTGTTTATACCATGTATGGTTCCATGCTTTATTAGGCTAATATACTCAGTGATCCAGGGAATGCAGATTTCAGCAAAGCCCATAAACCCTAAAATAACAACCACGGGAGAAGAAACTCACTCCCTTATGATAGTCAAGGCAAAGCAGAACCAAAAAACTGCAACCCAAAAAGTATTAGCTCAATTTGAAGCAAAGACATGAATCAATAACATAAAGGGGAAGGATTGTGAAAAATGTTTCTGTGATTTGCATCAATTGGCAATGGAATCAGCAAATGCTTCTATCTGCTGTGTCCAAAATAGACACAAAGAAAAGTTGTGAAACTTTCTGACCAAATAGCCAAATAAAGCATCAAAATCAAAGAAGTATAGTAGAGTAAAAGAGATGAAGTAGCAAGACGACTGATACTTAGAATAAAATGGAGGAAGTTGGGGTAAAGCTAAGAGCAACAAAGCAATTAAATAGTTATGTATAATAAAAAGCTTGATGCACTTGACAAAATGATGTAGCAGACACCAGTGTAAGGCCTCCCTCCAGACGAACACAAGAAGGATAGGAATCAACGACCACCTGGAAAGATTATGAAATTCCTGATCCTAGCCTATTGTTATTTGCTGATTTGGACTAACCAAGCACATTAGAAAATGCTTTGTGGGTTTAAAAACAGTATATATACTTTACCAAACTCGTAAGTGGTGTGTGCCATGAGTGGAGCAGCGACTCCCCGGCCACCCAGCGCTGCTTGCTTGCTTGCTTTAAAATTAAAGGTATAAATTTTATATCAATTCAAACGTGGCTCCCAGGTGTTCCAGGGTGCCCTTTCTCCAGCATCCCTGCACTCCAGGCACTCAGCGCTTCCCCTGCTCCCCGACAATACTTTCAGGGTCGGGGAGCCCTGCCCCACTCATCTCCCGGCTCCACCACCCATCCAGCCTGCCGGAGCTCCCCCGGCTCTGCTATCGCCCCTCTCCCCACGCCGGGGCTCCCCCCTTTCATCCCCCGGCTCTCCCGGGGATCCCCAAAACCCGTGTCGTGTCGTGTCCCGCCCCGCCGGCACCGGGCGATCGCCACGTGGGCCCCGCAAAATCCCCCCAGGGCCATTTGCGGCTCAGCTCTGCACTCCTGCGAGATCCAAAAATATCTCCTCATCGAATAATACAAAATACCTCTTCCAGCGACACCGAAATATATTTGGGACTCGACTCCGGAATCGGCAGGGCCTAAACCACAGCAAAATCCCCTTCTCCCCGCCAAAAAAACCCACTCGGAGCTGCCGAGGGAGCGGAGGAGGAGCGGGAGGAAGGGGAGGGAGACGGGAAGGGGAGGAGCAGGAACAGGAGGAGCACGAAGGGGAGCAGGTCGAGCAGGAGCGGCAGCAGTGGAAGGAGCATTGCGGGGTTCCACGGCGAGCCCGCAGCTCGGCTGGGCCCGGCAGCATCGCATTGCCCCGCATCCCGCAGGTGAGCGCCGGGGGGAAGCTCGCCCCGAGTCGATCGCGGCAGCTCCGAGAGGGTTTTTTTGGCGGGGAGAAGGGGATTTTGCTGTGGTTTAGGCCCTGCCGATTCCGGAGTCGAGTCCCAAATATATTTCGGTGTCGCTGGGAGAGGTATTTTGTATTATTCGATGAGGAGATATTTTTGGATCTCGCAGGAGTGCAGAGCTGAGCCGCAAATGGCCCTGGGGGGATTTTGCGGGGCCCACGTGGCGATCGCCCGGTGCCGGCGGGGCGGGACACGACACGACACGGGTTTTGGGGATCCCCGGGAGAGCCGGGGGATGAAAGGGGGGAGCCCCGGCGTGGGGAGAGGGGCGATAGCAGAGCCGGGGGAGCTCCGGCAGGCTGGATGGGTGGTGGAGCCGGGAGATGAGTGGGGCAGGGCTCCCCGACCCTGAAAGTATTGTCGGGGAGCAGGGGAAGCGCTGAGTGCCTGGAGTGCAGGGATGCTGGAGAAAGGGCACCCTGGAACACCTGGGAGCCACGTTCGAATGAGGAGAGGATGAGCCCTGAGATCCCCAAAAGACCCTCAGCATGCCTGAGCAGGACCCGGGAGAGGGGGGATGCCCAGGACCCATGGGCCCCCAGCAGCTCTGAGAAGAGGGACCCCCAAACCCCAAAATAAGGACACTGGGAACAGGGAATGCCTGGGAGAGGTTTTTTTGTCTCCTTCTTGAGTTTTGGAAGTTTTTCTGGCCACCAGACACTGAGTGACTTCTAGAAATGGACTTGGCCAGCGGGACCTTCAAAGCCCACGCCAATTTCCTGGTTTAGGGCAATTTTGGGAGAAAAACCTCTAAAGGTGTTTCCTCTAGAAGAGCAAATTTAAGCGGCCCCTCTCTCATCTGGTTCTGGAAAAAGATTTCCTTGGAGAGAAGTGGAAAAACTGTTTCTTTAACAGGCAAAGCACTCACCAGCCCCAAAAATAAACAATATTCAACAATACAACCCCTTGCTGCTCCAAAAGAGATGACAAACTCACAGAATCCCTCCGTGGGCTGTAGTTTGGCTTGCTCAGTCTCTCTGGTGTTGGAAATGCCGCGGCCCAGCCCCAGTGGGGCACAGGTGTGAGCACCTGGTGCTCTTCTGGGTGTTCAGTCCAGAGCAGGTGTAGACAGGTCCAAAGAAAAGGAAAACCAAAAACCACAGTCCAGGGAACTTCTCTTCCTCTGCTAGCTAAAACTAACCAAAAGCAAAGGAGGGCTCTGCCCTGCTGTCTGTCCATCTGCAGACAACAGAAGAGCAGGAATGTGGAGGAGTGAAAGGGGTTCTGAAAACAAACTCCGTGCTTCTTCTTCCTCCCTCTTTGTTCTCAGAACCAGTGTTATAAAGGTGCAAAATTTATTTCAGACAAATGGGGATACGAGCATCATAATTTCACCCCTGGGACCCCCAAAAGACCCTCAGCATGTGTAAGCAGAACCCAGGGGAGGGAGAATGCCCAGGACCCACGGCCCCCCAGCAGCTCTGAGATGAGGGACCCCCATAACCCCAAAGTGAGGACACTGGAAACAGGGAACTCCTGGGAGAGGTTTTTGGACTTCTTGCTTTTTGGAGGTATTTCTGGCCACCAGACACCCGGTGACTTCTAGAGATGGACTTGGCCAGTGGGACCTCCGAAGGCAATGCACTCACATCTTGTTTTTCCCCCAAATCAGGATTTCCCATTTCCAAACCTTATCTGAATAGAGGAGAAGTCTGCAAGGAAGAGGAAGATGCCTTGGGACAGCCTGGCAGGTGAGGAGGAAGTCAGTGCCCCTTTCCCCTCTGTGCTGCTCCATCTCCCAGCCCAGCACAGCCCCGGCTGCAGCACAGCCCTGGGGGGATCTCCTTGCCCTTGCCTGTGGCACAGAGGCAAATCCCATCCTGTCCTTGTCCTTCCTCCCCCAGAGCAGGAGCTGAGCATGGAGAGCAGGGAGGACAAATGCCCGCGGCAGAACCTGGTGGAAGAGGCCGTTTTGAGCAGCTCCACGGCGCAGGAAGCCAATGGGGAGGAAAAGCCCCGGAGATGCCGCACGAGGAGGGGCTGCAAACGCAGCCCAGGATGCTCTGAGGTGGAAAGACCCAGCCTGTGCCTGGAAGGCAGCCAGAGCTCTAAAGTGGTGGTCAATGAGCAGCTTGATGATGGCAAGAAGCCCCACCAGTGCTTGGAATGTGGGAAGAGTTTCCGCAGGAGCTACAACCTGCTCATCCACCAGAGGATGCATACCGGGGAACGGCCCCACAAGTGTGGGGAATGTGGGAAGAGCTTCAGGATCAGCTCCCACCTGTACCGCCACCAGAAGATCCACACTGGAGAAAGGCCCTATGAGTGTGGGAAATGTGGGAAGAGCTTCAGAGACACCTCTGACCTGATGGTCCACCAGAGGATTCACACCGGGGAACGACCCTATGAGTGTGGGGAGTGTGGACAGAGCTTCAACGTCAGCTCCCACCTGATTGCTCACCAGCGGATCCACACCGGGGAACGGCCCCACGAGTGTGGGGAATGTGGGAAGAGCTTCAGGTTCAGCTCCAGCCTGAAACTCCACCAGAGGATCCATGCTGATGAACGGCCCTATAAATGTGGAGAATGTGGGAAAGGCTTCAGGAATAGCAGCCATCTGAACCGCCACCAGATGATCCACACTGGGATACGACCCTTTGTGTGTGGGGAATGTGGGAAGGGCTTCCGTGACAGCTCTGACCTGATCATCCACCAGACAATGCACACTGGGGAATGCCCCTACACGTGCTCAGAATGTGGGAAATGCTTCAGCCAGAACTCCAATCTGATTGCCCACCAGAGGATCCACACTGGGGAGAGGCCCTATGAGTGTTCTGAGTGTGGGGAGAGGTTTCAGAGTCGATACCGTCTCCTCAAGCATCAGCAGATTCACACAGAATAGAGGCCTTTCTGCTACCCTGACTGCAGGAAGGGCTTTAAGAAAAACTCCACCCTCCTCACCCACCAGCGGATCCACACGGGGGAGAGGCCCTGACAGTGTCCCAAGTGTGGGAAGAGCTTCTCCCAGAACTCTACCGTGACCCAACACCAAGGGAGGCAGCAGTAAGGGATGCCCTACAAGTGCCCTGTGTGCAGGAAGAGCTTTGAGTGCTGCTTCAACTCCATCCGCTATTGGAGGACCACCATTGGATGGTCCACAGTGACCCTCACTGTGCAGAGACTTGGTCATCCATGGTCCTGGTGATCCATGTTGGGAAGACACCTGGCTGGTGGTCTCCACATCTTCCTGGCTCCCCTTGAGCACTTTGACGCAGCCAGAGAAAAATCCATTGGGATGCAAACAGACATCAGAATTTCATAGGGGACAGCAGAGTTTTTCACTTTCGACCCCAAAAAGTCTCACCTTTTGCATCCTATCATTTCTTTGAGTGGCATCAAGGAATACTGGATTGTGTTGGAAGTCTTTTCCAACCTGAATCATTCCATGATTGTAATTCTCTCTGGCCCACAGGCATCTTCCACAGGCAAATGGTGATGGACTGGGGCAAAAAACCCAGGATTTTGAAGACAGTGGAGTGGAAATCCCTCTAGAAAAGGTCCTTTCTACCCGCCCGGGGACACGGATACTCAGCAGCATGGACACGTAAATCCTTTTATTTTGGCTTTGATTTTCCTTCATTTTTCTTCATCCCTTCACCCAAACATTGGGGTAAAATAAAGACATTCAACTAAGACATGGATAGTGACATTGGGGGACATGGCAGGGATGGGGACAGGGACAAGGACATGGGTGCGGACATGGCTGTGGATGGTGATATAGGGCATGGGGGGGGGTGTCACAGATAGAGATTGTGACATGGGGCTCTATGGCCATGGATGAGGACATGGGGGACATGGCCATGGATGGCAACACAAGTGGCCTAGAGGACAAGTCCATGGGTTGACATGTCCATGCAATGGAGTGTCCCACGGCCAAGGACAACACATTCCCACCACCACCATGATACTGTCCCTTTCATGCTACCATTTATTCCCTGCTCCTCCCCTGGCTGTGACACCCGCTTTACAGGATGTCCCCATGTCCTGGTGACCCGTGTCACTCAGGCCCTCTCGCCAGTGGCTCCAGCAGCAGCCAGAGCCCGTCCTCGGCACGCAGGATCAGCTCGGGCTTGCGGCGCGGGGGCGGCCTCGCATTGTCTCTCCGCAGCACGAACCGGGACAGTGTCAATGCCACTGCCACCTTCATCTCAGACATGGCAAAGCTCTGCCCGATGCAGTTCCTGCCACCACATCCCCACTGTCACTGTCACCCCACTGTGAACCCAGCCAGGGACGGGGGTGACATTTGGGGACACTCCTGTCCCCACTCCAGCACATACCTGGGGCCAGCAGAGAAGGGGATGAATGACGACGGGGACCGTTCCTTGCTGTTCTCCGGACTGAACCTCAGAGGATTGAACACCTGGGGTGACACCGATGCAGTCACACCGAGGGAACACAGCTGTCACCACCATAGTGACAGGGACACCTCAGAGGGTGGCCCTACCTCAGGCTCGGGCCAGAGGTCTGGGTTGTGGTGGGTCCCGTAGATGCTCATCAGGCAGATGACCCCTGGTGGGATGGGAATGGCCACTTTAGGGACAGCAGATGAGGGTGGGTGGTGACACTGGGGACACCCTGGCCATGCCATACCCTTGGGGATGACACGGCCATCACGCAGGGGGATGTCCTCGGTGCAGCGCCGGGACACAGCAGTGACAGGAGGGTGCAGCCGCAGGCTCTCCTTGATGCACATGGTGGTGAAGGGCAGCTGGGACAGGTCCTCCCTGGGGACAAGCGGGGGTGGCACCATGCTCCCAAGCCACATGGCCGGGGTGGCCCTGGGGACATCTCACCATTCAATGTCTGCAGTGTCCCGGCCAGCCAGGAGCTCCTGGACCTCCTGGCGGCATCGCTCCTGGTGCTCAGGATGGCCGGCCAGGTTGTAGAAGAGCCATGCCAGGCCACTGGCCGTGGTGTCATGGCCTGTGGGGACACTGGGTGAGTGAGGGGACACTAGAGTGGCTCCTCCCCAGTGGCACCTGGGAGCTCGTGCTCACCCTCAAACATGAAGGTGTCAGCCTCAGCCGCGATGTCCTCGTCCGACAGGGTGCGGCCATTCTCGTCCTGCAGGGGCAAGGTGAGCCACAGGCCACTGGGGCCACCAGTCTGTGGGCCACCTGGGGCCAAATCCCATCCATGGCCACCACCCTATGGCACCACAATCCCACTGGCCACCAGCTCTATGGTCAATGCTGCCCATGGCCACCACTGTTCCCCTGTGGCCACCAGTCTAGGCCCAAGCCCCCCATGGCCACCAGCATCCTACTGACCTCTATGGCCAATCCTTCCATGGCCACCACCACTCTCTTGACCACTTCCATGTCCCCATGGCCACCACCTCAGCCCCACCTTGGTGAGCAGCAGGAGGTCGATGAAGTCCATGCTGCGTCCCCGGTGGCCATCCAGCCAGGCCTGGTGGCCCAGGCAGGCGAGTGCCTGGCGCCGGCGCTGCACCACATCAGCAGTGAAAGCGTGGACAGTGGCACAGGCACGGGCGAAGCGCCGGCCATCAGAGGAGAGGCTGTAGAGCCACCAGGGGTGGAGAAGTGGCTGGAATTGGCGCCGGACCACCAACGAGCTCAGCTCCAGGATGGCCTGGATGTACTCACTGGGCTGCCTGTACCAGGGACAATGGGGGGACACTGCACTGTGGCCACCAGCATGGATGATAGCAGGACCATTGGGGCCACTAGAATGATCAACAGGGAGAGTGATTGGACAGGATGGCCAATGGGGACTATGGCAGGGCCAGCACAGCCACCAGGATGGCCAGCAGGGACAATGGTAGGGTCACCAGGGCACTCTAGGATGAACAGTGGGGACAGGCGACACTCACTCCTGGCAGTGGCTCTCGTGGCTGAAGATGCACTTCTGGAGTGTGTCCAGGGTGAGGAGGCTCAGGGGCTGCAGCACCTCCAACTCCACTGGCCCCCCACCAGCTGCCTCTGCTGCTGCCGCCCACTTGGCCTGCGGGGAAGGGCTGGGTTGGGGAGGGAATCAGGGACAGGGGACAGGGGATAAATTGGGGGGTGGGAGAGGGGGAGGAGTTGGGGAGAGGGTGTAGAACAGGAATGTGGTGATGAACGAGGGATGGAGTTGAGGTTTGGGGGCAGCTTTGAGTTTGGGGTATGGGACAGTAAAGAATTTGGGTACAGAACAGGACTCAGGATGCAGCAGTGGGTGCAGGACAGAATTTTGGGTGCAGGACTCAGGGTTTGGGATGCAGGTCAGAATTTGGGGTGCAGCACTCAGGATTTGGGGTGCAGGTGGAGACTCATGCCCATCTGGGATCTCTCACGAGCAGCACGCGGGTGCTCTGGTTGAAGATTCTCAGGTAATTCCGGAGCACATCCCCATGGAAGGCAGGCGTCAGGAGTCGCCGGTGCCGCGCCCAGCGCTGCCCATCACTCAGCAGCAGCCCCTCTCCTGGGGAGAGGACACTGGGGTCCGCTGAGGGCACCCAGGGGGTTGTCCCTGTCCCTCACCACCCCTGTCCCCTGTGACACACAGAGATCCATCTGGGGACACCCAAGGATGATGTCCCTGTCGTCCACCGCCCCTGTCCCATGCGACACACCAGGATCCATCCTGGGGGGCCACCCAGGGGTGCTCTCCCCACCCCTGTGACACCCAACTCCATTCACGGGGCACCCCTGGGTGCTGTCCCCATCCTAACCTCCCCCACTCACCCAGCCAGGGCTTGAGGAAGCCGTAGAAAATTTTGTCCTTGGGGGCCACGAAAGCTGCAGGATACAAGGATGGGGTGGGCAGGGATTCACTGGGGTGCCATCAGGTTCCCTGCGTGGGGACACTGGGGGTGGCCCCACCCTGTCTGCACCCATTAACCATCAGGTGGGGACCTTCTCCCAGCACCCATGGCCACCAAAGGATGAGGGTTGGGGGACAACCAGAGGCTGAACATGGTGACACGTTTGGGTGGCCTTGGGGAACCTCAAGGACAGGTTGGTGGCCACTATGGGGGCGGCATTTGGCCTGCCAATGGTGACACCTCTGGGGACCTGTGGGCTTGGGTTGGTGGCCACTGCCTGGGCACTGCCAGGTCTCTGTGCCAGGTGTGGTGACACCCATGGGTGGCCCTGGGGACCCGTCTGATGTCCCATGTCCTACCTGAGGCACTGAGGAGTGGCCGGAGGGTGCTGGGGTGGAAGAGGCGCAGCACAGGCAGCCAGGGAAGTCCCCACCAGAGGCAGCCATGACGGTACTGGGCCACCAAGGTGTCCACCTGCTGTAGGCCTTCCTCCGTGCTCTGGCCCTGGGGAAAACAGGACACGTGTGCCATTGGGGGCACAGATAGGCTCAGGGACGTGTGTGTCCTCAGGACACTGCCAGCCTTGGGGACACTTGTTTCTGCCCCACTTTCCTCTTGCAGGTGCCAACACCCTGTCCTCACTTTCCCTTTGCAGGTGCCCCCACACCGTCCTCACCATCCCCCCAAGTGCCACCACCCCATTCCTTCGGTCCCCTCACAGGTGCCACCACCCAATTGTTCCTTTGCAGGTGCCTCCACCCCTGTCTCCGCAGGTGTCACCCCCTGTCCTCTCACCATGCCGGTGTGTCCCAGCAACCAATTGCGCCAGGGCGGGATGGGGAACTTGTTCAGCTGGCGACAAGTGGCCCGGAATCGGATGACAGCCACCAGCGCATCCCAGAGCCACCGCAGCAGCACGGCCACCACAAAGGTGCCCAGGGCGACCGCACCCAGGGAACCTAGCGCCGTGGCCACCGCCATGGAACCGATCCTGGGGACAGGGCAAGGGTCGGATGTGGGCGGTGCCACCTGCGGGGTCACGTGGTGCAGCGCTGGGTGTCACCGGATCCGCATGCCGGGCTGTTTTATTTTTCGGCGCGGCAGGCGGAGGTGCGGGCAGGAGTGCAGAGGGGAGTGCGGTAATTGTTCGTTTCCCTTTCCCACCGCCCCCACGCCGCGTTTTCCTTTCGATTCCTTTTCTCCCTTCTCGCTGGGAGAGGCTGTTACGTCGCTCCCCGCGCCGCCCCTCAGGGCCGTCCCCGCTCGGCCGGGCGGTGGCGCAGAGCACCACGGGAAAGGCTTTTCCCGCCGCCGCCCGGGCCCTCAGGCGCGGCTGGCGGCGGCCGGAGAGGAGGCGGCTGCGCGGGGCAGCGAGCGTGTGGGGCGGGCAGGGGAGCCGGGCACGGGCCAGGCTGGGCACGGGCTGCGGGTGCTGCCGGCGGCTGCGCGGTGTCTTGGCCAAGGAGACTTCTGGGTGGGTCGCTGGGAGTCTTGTTTTATGGCGTTTGTCCCACGGCTCTCCCGCTTCTCCTTCAGCCCGCGGCGGGGCCGAGCAGGAGCGCAGCGGGGCGAGGGAGCGATTCAGAAACGAAGGCGGGAGACGGGGTGGGAGCACGGCGGTGTTAGAGACGCAAGCCCCGGGCTCAGAGATCTCTCGCTGCTGCCAGTCTGGGGACGGGGCCGGGGCCGGGTCAGGAAGCCCGGCGGCTCCTAAAGACTCCCTCCCTCCTTCCCTCCCCGGGAGCGGTGGGACGTGGGGAGGCGCAGGGGAGGGGCAGTGGCGGTGCTGAGGGTGACTGAGAGAGGAGGAAGATTGAAGAGCCTTGGGGTGTCACCACGGAGTGCCTGTGACTGCTCCTGCCGTCTCTTTAGCAGCCCAGTCTTCTAGACTGTGAGCATGGAGTGCCTGTCTCTGCCAGTGACCTCCTGGCTCCCTAGAAGGCCCAGAGAGCCCTGGAATGTCATCATGGAAGCCGTGTGAGTGCAGGTGAGCTCAGGGCTCTTTAGAAACCTGGATCCCTGTAGGATGTGAGGATGGAAGCCTTAGGAGGGCCTTTGAGCTGAGTGCTCTTTAGCAGTTTAGAGAAACCTGGGATGTCGCTGTGGAACCATTGTCAGTGCCGGTGACATCAGAGTTCTTTAGCAGTGCAGAAACACAGGGGATGTCAGCACAGAGCTGCTGTCATTGCCTGTGACCTCAGTGCTCTTTAGGAGCGCAGCGGCCACTGGCTTGTCACGATGGATCCCCTCTGAGTGGCTGTGACAAAGCACTTCTTTAGCAGCCTGGAGCCCCCTGGGATGTCCCTGTGGAGTTCCTCTAACAGCGTGTGACCTTATGGTTCTTTTGCAACCTTGGACACATTGGAATGTCACTGCAGAGCCTGTGAGTGCCTGTGACATTACAGCTCTTTAGCAGCATGGAGACACTCGGGATGTTGCCACTGAGACCTTGTGACAGCGTGTGAGGTCAGTGCAGTTTAGCAAACAGGGGACTCCTGGGATGTCCCCATGGAACCCTTGGGATTGGACATGACCTCAGTGTTCTTTAGGGGCTTGGAGACCTCTGGGATGTCACCACAGAACCTCAGCGAGTGCCTGTGCCAAATGGGTCCCTTAGCATGTCAAGACACCTCTGTTGTCCTCGTGGACACCAGTGACTGCCTGTGACCTTGCAAGTCTTTGGAAGATGTAAGAGCTCTGGGATGTCACCGTGGATGTCCTGTGCCTGTTTGTGATCTCTCTCCTTCCGAGCAGGCTGGAGACAACTCTGCTATCACCAGGGACTGGAGTGCGGTGGTGGTGGTTCAGGGAGGTGAGGGTGGGGGGAGGAACGTGTGGCAGAGCTCACTGGGAGCTGCTCAGGCACTGAGTCATCAGGGACAGCACCCGAACGAACCCGGGCCCAGGAAACACTCGTGTCCCCACTGGCCAAGTCCTGTCCCAGGGAGCAGGTCTGCCCTCCGCTGGAATGGGAGGCCGTGTCACCCCACTGGAGCAGGGGACCAGGTGTACCCTGTGTCCCCAGCATGCAGAGTCTGGGCACGGAAGGCCAGGTCTACCCACTGGGGTCTCAGACATGGTGTGCCTGCTGCCAGCATGGGAGGCCTTCCCTCCTCTACCCGGGAGACCAGGTCTGCTCACCAAAACGATCACAGTAGTGCTATTTCACTGGCAGCTGGGACGCCAGCGGGGGGTCATCCCACACTGTTGAGAGTGCACCAGGCTCAACAAGGTCTTCTTCCCCTGCTGATTCTGCCAAACCTGCTCCCTTGGCTGTGGTTTCACTGGATAGTAGGTCGGGACTGTGGCAATCTTGTTCATTCATTTATTTATTCACGTCACTAAATAGATGATGAGGCATTTGGCTATTTATTGAGCATTTATTTTTATATGTTCTTTTTCTGGGTTAAGTATTGGTGTCCCATCCACCTTGGTCCAAATCAGTAGAATTTAGCCTCCAATGTAGATGAAACACAATGCTGCATCCTTGGAAGAATTGTGTCATTGCCACTGTCCTTATGTGCCATCCAGCTTTTAACTTTTTGTGGTTTTTTAAAATTTGCATAAACGATAATAACTCTACGCAGCCAAGCTAGCCTTGCTTCCAAACATCTGAACAATATCTACTGAGGTAAAGAGCATTCTGGAGACCAGCAGCACAGCAGTCTTCCCCTGCCTTCTTTTGGAGAGACCTAGGTCCTGTAGGAGCTCACTGTTTCCATAGAACCACTTGGGAAAGTCCAGTGGGAAAGTCTGCAAACCTGATACATGCTGCATTGGTGAGGTCCTGTATTTGTTTGGGAAGATGTTGATATTTCCTGACTGTATTGGGTTGACCCTGGCTGGGTGGCAAGTGTGCACTCAGTCGGTCTGTCACTCCCTTTCCCAATGGGACAGGGCAGAGAATAAGATGGAGCAAAACCAGCAGGGTGAACTAAGGCCATTTTATTACAGTAAAAGAAAGAAATAAGCAGAGATTTGTGCTTGCAGCAGCTAAAGAGAATGAAAAGTCAGTCTCTGCTTCCCATCAGCGGTGATGTTCGGACACTTCCTGGGAAGCAGGCATTCAGCACACATGAGTTCCTCTGGACAGCAGATGTTGAAAACTCACGAGTACCCCCCTTCCTTCTCTCTCCCTTAGCTTAGGATCTCTCTCTCCTGAGCTGATATCATGTGGTATGGAATATCCTTTTGGCTAATTTGGGTCAGCTGGACTGGTTGTGTCCCCTCCCAGGATCTTGCCCACTCCCATCCCCTTTGGTGGGGGAAGGAATGTCAGAGGGGCAGCGCTGCTCGGCAGTAGCCAAAACACTGGTCTGTTCTGAACACCCATCCAGTTACTAGTGCAAAATACGGCACTGGAAGGCCAGTGATCTTGACCTTGGTCAGACCCAGTACAGTCTCCACCCCAATTCCGTACAATTTGTGTCACGCTTGGATCCCATATAGTCTATATACTCTCATTGCTAGAATCCTTAAGCCTTCTCTATACCAAGCATACATTTTATTAGCTACTATCACCTGTCCTTTCATATCCTTCCCGATGATCTCCATTCCACCAGAGGGTGAGGTCAGGACAGGGGAAATAGTACACCTGATGGTGTACTATTGGGCACTGGCATTGTCTCTGTTCATCATAATCTTTTTCTTGCTCCTTGCCAAAATTCATTCTTCCATGTCCATTCTTCCCTCCTGCTACTTTACTTCCCGTAACATACAACTTATGCTGTAGGTTATTCTTACCCCAAGGTTAAATCTCCTTGAAGTACACACCAGGTCTCCCCATCCTCCCGAATCACCCACCAAGTACACCCAGGTCCTCGGGCAAAGACGATCCCACAAATGGGTTTGTCTTTTCCCATGGGGGAAGAAATCCACACTGGCTTCCCCAGCCACTTCCCTATGTGTAATGCAGGAACCTTGTCTCCTTCCACAGTGTCTAAGGGCTTGGTTTAGGTGGGACCAGGGCGGTAAGCAGATCCCCTAGTGTTGACTAGCCAAGTGGCTTCTGCCAAGTTTGCATCCCAGTGCTTCCATGTCTCATTACCTGATACCCTGAACATAGTTTTTAGCAGCCCATTTTATCTTTTAATCTTCCCAGAGACCTGTGGGTGGTAGGGAATGTGATATATCCACTTAGAGCCATGCATCTTTGCCCAGGAGTTTGTAAGATTGTTGTGAAAATGAGTCCTACTGCCTGACTCAATTCTAGCTGGGGTTCCATGTCACCACAAAATGTGTCTTTCAAGACCTGAAATTGTTTTGGGCAGTGGGATGGTTTACTGGGTGTGTTTCCAACCAGCCAGTTGTAGTCTCCATCATGATGAGGATATAACTCTTGCCTTGGCATGTTGGTGGCAATGGCCCAATGTAATCAGTTTGCCAGGCTTCACCATTCTGGAAACCCAGCCACTGCCCTCCACTCCAAAGATGCTTCACTCGTGTGGCTTGCTTGATGGCAGTGCATTGTTTCACACTGATGGACTCCATGGTCAGATCCACCCCTTGATCAAGGCCTCATCTATGTGTTGCATCCCTTCCAAGATGCCCTGATGTTTCATGGGCCCATTGGGCTGTAAATAGCTCACCCTTTCTTTCCCAGTCTAGGTCCACCTGAGCTATTGCAATTTTGATGGCCTTATCTATCGGTCCATTGTTTTGATCCTCCTCAGTGGAGAATCATAGCTCAGCCAGGGACTTGTTTATGGAACCAAGCTGAGTTTCTTTATAGCCAAATTAATTGCCCAGTACAAGCCAGCTTGTACTGTAACACCTCACTGGCCATGATGGGGCTGTTGAAGGGTGAGCTGGTTCTGCTGATTACTCCTTGGCTCTCCAGTTGTCGAGTTAGTTCTTGGATAGGAGTTACAGAGTCTTGGTTTGTGTGATACTGCCACCAGTGCACTGTCCTGGTAGCAATTGGTACTTACAGGTCTTGCACCTGCAGCAATCCTACAATGAAGGGATCTTCTGAGAGGCCA